TTTATCTCAACTCCATTGTTATCCAATATTCAGACATTGCTTCTGGAAAGAAAATTGAATCATTTAAAATGTTATCACTAAAGTGATAAAAGTGATAAGATGATGTTATCACTAGATTGATAAGGATAATAAGATAGTTAATCTTCTCGATTTTTCTTGCTATGTTTGATTAGTTATTCCCTTTTTAGAGCTATTACTTAAAGTTTTCAGGTGACCTTTTTGAAGTAGAATATAAGACGTATTTTATAGCGTACAGTAAACTGTTGCACTAATATTTTATCAACTTTTAGATTGTTCGAAAAGAGTTATTTTGAATTGAAATTTCAGGTACAGAATGATGTATTGTTGCTGGCAGTTGGACTTCAGAAATCGTCCAAATACCGAACAACTTTTATCCGCTTTAAAAGAATTTAATGTTCAACTTGTGCAATATATCTAATATGGTATCGAAATACTCATTAAATATTTATGGTATAAAAATTAGATAAAAACATCATAAAACAATAATATTATTCAACACTTTCTCATTAAATTCACATTCTAACTTAGATAGCTGTAGCAGGGAAGCAATGTTTTTCTCATTTTAATTCAATTTGAATTCTTGTATGTTTATACGATTATGATTTTGAATCCACTGACCTTCATAATACTTTATATCGACTTAAAGATCAATAAAAGTAAGTCTTTTTTGCAAAAATTATCCCGAGTTATTTACTCTTAAAATAAGAAAATAATTGGAGAGGAAGAAATTTGCATAATTTTATTTCCTCTGAGCAACCATGAGTATACTGTATGCAATCTGTTTATCTTAAAAAAATTATCTTGATCTCTGTTTGTATTTTGTGTCTAAAGAATAAATCATCTATTCATTAACATTTATTCATTATGAATATTTGCGTTCTAGAAAACAAAAAAAATGTAATTAAATTTTTTATGAATTTTATGGACGGAAAAATATTCTGTGTATACATACAAATTGTCATAAGTATTAGAGTAGAGGAAACAGTATGATAAAATAATTAAAATAATAATTGATGTTTTTATTTTGAGAATAGAAGTTTGTCTATTTCATTAAGTTTTTATGCTTAGTACTTGTTTTATTTTTACTTGAAAAAAGAATTTTGAATGGGTTTTACTCACTTAAGCAATATAAGCTATTGCTACAAACATAAGCTTTTATTCGGACTGCGCAACCTTGACCTTAACATATTTGGATTACTTATTCCAGTTTCATTTTGCTGATGGCCAAATCCATTTATTTTTTTCAAATGCAACGGATAAAAAAGCGAAAAAAAGTCTATGACAGACAGGCTTCGTATTATTTTGAATATCAATTGATGCTAATCTTTTAGCACAAGCAGTTATTTTTTAAGCAGGAAGCAGGTTTCAAGTTTCTTGATTAAAAGGTTTCTAGTAAAAGTTTGCAAACAGGTAATGATGAGCCATATCAAACCATTTTATTAATTTAAGTCTCTTTTTCCAATATTTTATTTAAATATATATGTATAAATTGTGCTCATTTGCAACAGTTTTCGAGAATTGACAAAAAATGTACTGTTTCTGCTCGTTGATACAATTGCTTATTATGTTGCCATGCTTAATCTACCCATCCATTTACGCAAATATTTCACAAAAAAACGTTTGGGAAGATTAGAAGTTAAGTAATATTTTTATTTTACTTTTGTTAGCATCTGTTAAGTAAATGACGTATTAAATGGTACATTGAAATGATTTAAGAGTGTTACTAACTTTCGGAAAGATTATACTATTACCAAGTTTAGCATTTGGTTTAAGATCTTAGAAGTAATGCGCACAAGTTATGCCAGTAAAGGCTGCTAGTTGACCTACTGTCATTGCTGTATTCTGTTAATAATCATGTAGTACTTTTTGCATATGTTAATTCTTCTTGATATTTCAGGATTTCAGATAAAGAAGAAACAATTTAATCAGAAATGCACATTATGCAACTTTTTGAATATTCTTCAAAATGTTTTACGATTATTCTTTTGAATACAAAAATAGTAATACAATTCAGGAAACTACTAATCCTTATTACTGTAACCTTCATCAACTACTACTTTTAATAACTTCATATTGGCGTATATAATTCCTTCCACTTTTTTATTGCTATTTCACAGTTTTTCACTCTAACAGATGCTCTAAACAACTTCTGGTATTTCATTACCTCTAAAAATATACAATTAAAAAAGTACAGACAGCATAAAGTACAGGATCACTGCTATAAAATATTGAATTCACTACATAATCATAACATTCCTGAGACTTATTTACCACTCCATTTTAAATTTTGAAGCATAAAAGACAATGTATTGTATCCGCTTCTGATCACTCTGTGTAAAAAACACTATTTATAAAATCATTTAGTGCTTTTGTCAAAACTCCACTTCCGAACAAAATGTGCGTTTCTTGCATATGACCAGAAATAATCAGATTACAACAAAGACAATCACTTCAATTTTCTAAGAAATGTAAATATACGCTTGATCATTCTGTTTACTTTTATTGTGAACAAATTTTAAGACGTGACAACAACATCTCAAACATCATGTTGGTTGAGGAGATGATTTCGTTTATTATTCAACAACTTCTGTATTTAGAATGCTCAGAATTTTTCTTCTTGCAGTTTCTTCAGCAGTTTGAAGCAGAACAGTGATAAACTTGTTGTCAGCAAGTTCAGGCAAGAATACCATTAACTCTTCGGCTTCAGGTATTAATTTCAATTTTTGCTGACTTTTTATTTCAGCTGAAATTAGTGATCTTACTCCAATATTTGAATTATTTTAAAAGATTAGGTAACACTCAAATACTTTAGCAATAATTTCTACATGGAAACAAATGATAAGGAGCAAATATAACTTTGCAAACACTATACCACAGGATGTGATCATCTCTAACAATTCCTCATAAACAGTTGAACTTCTTAGGTCATCATCACAACGGACTTTTTGCCAGTAATCGCTGTTCATTCTAAAAGCAGTTAACCATACTTTCATACGCAGAGAGTTGACCAACCCAGATATCTCACTGGATGATTCTTCACGCATTACTGTCGACAATGTCACTAATGCACTGAAACAAAATTTTAAATAATGGATTAATTTAGCTAAAAAAAAATATTCTACTTTATTTCAAACAAATACCGAAAGAAGCAACAGATAAATGTAACAAATAATAACAATCAGATGTAATTTCTTACAAAAAACGAACTCACTCGAAGCACTGCTTGACACTACATGAAGGATCATTCAAAAGTGTAAGTACAATTTCTTCTGCAGTGCAAGCCTTTACCTTTGGAGTCACATCCGAAGAACAAAGTTGCTAAAATTGAAATTACTATTAGGATGATGATACAAACAATTGTGTGCCATGAACAATTTTCCCACACATTCATTTGAATGAAATTTTTTTTATGAGAACATCAAATTTACCATTTCTAAATCTGGATTAATTTTTTGCTGGTGTTTAATCAAGCGTAGATCATTTTTTATGCCTTCTACATAATCCTGATTCACTTCATCATCACACAATGCCGAAAGCTTCGCAAAAGAAAGTAGGCGCTACAATTAAATGTGTTCAAAAATTGTTGCTAAAACGAAGTTTTCCTATGAACATTTATATCCCTTAAAGATGAAGAAAAACGAAAGCAGAAATTCAAAATTCTGAAAATCATACTGAACATATGGTATAATAAACTAACTCTTTTGCGTACTACATCATCATTCGCTTTCTGTGAAAGAGATATTAAGGAACGACATGCCTATAAGTACATCAAAAACAATTATCGTGCAAAGAACTTCGTGTTTTATGGAATTTGTTTTTTTTAACCATAATAAATTGCTAAAAATAACCGCAATGAAGTAATAAATATTGATTCTGTTTTTACAGAATTCACGTGCAATACAATATTAATCTACTTGTAATCAAAATTTTCAGTATTTAAAAATTTTGATCTATAAATAAGTTTTTATATACAAGGACTGCAATTTAGTTGCAACTAATGATTCTATTGAAGATAATTTCCGATGAGTTACACATCACAAAACTCACCTTTGATTTTTCAAATGTCAAATAAAAACCGAACCTTAGTGAAATCTCCATATTCCAGATCACGTATCCAACCAACGTTCGTATGTGTCGCAAAGAATGAATCAACTTCTGGTCCTTTCATTTCCAGTAAATCTCTTAAGTACCCTAAATACTGGACTGAGTAACTTGCACATTGAAGATGATACAAAACAAAATCTCACAATACTAACCATTTTCCAAATAATATTCGAATAAAGTATTTAAAAAGTTGATTGAGTTGAAAATTTCTTTATATTCTTGAATTTTTGTCCTTCTTTCTGCATCCGGTAATGCACATGCCAGTCGTACTACTGTTTTGTAATCCTGAGAGAAACCGTTAGAAAAATGAATGACTTGAAGAATAAGACCAAAAAAGTCAGTAATTAATTACATCACTGTGAAACTAAAAATGTAAAAACAAAAATTTTTAAACTTAAATTGCATCTGCTATTTGAGAAATCTTTAAATCATTCTACTGGAATTTGAAATTATCCACACATAATATTAAAAATTACTTTGCAGCAGTGCTTAGTGTTCTGCAGACTACTACGCAATAACATATAATAAAAAGCAAAACGGCGTTAGTTTCTACTTATAGCTTAGTTTGTGTTTTTTTTATTTTTCTGTACTGATCTCACAACTGGTATTTAACATAAAGGTAATTGAGAAACAAAAAACCTGAAAACGTTCTGCTAATTCTAAAGCAGTGGAGCGCTCGGAAATTTCCAGAAGTTTGCTAATTATTGGTGAATCTTGACGATCATCCGGTTTTTGTTCATTCAATATAAATGATGCAATTGCTACAGCCTGCCTGAGCAAAGTTCCATAATTTGGAAAATCCTTGCCGATTTGATTCATAAATTGCAGTAGTATACTCAACTAAAAACTATTTATATATGCGTCTTCCTCGTCCAAATTTCATCGAAGATATCCGAATTTGAGTTTCAAAAGATAGATAAACGAATGAAAGACATGGTATGGAAATACTTCAAACCACTAACATGTCGTGAAAATGGCTCCAGCGCACGCTTTTCCTGTGTCCAACGCAAGTCATCCTCTATGTCCAGAATGCTAACCGTACGCTGCTCGTTAATCGTCTCTAAGATAATTTTTAGAATCATACCAACATGTTCAATGCATTCCCGCTTATAATCAATAGCTTGATTACATTCCAAAATAGATTCTTCCTCTTCCAAAATTTCATCGAAGATATCCCGAATTCGAGAAATCTGAAATCATTAAAGCACCTTTTCTAACGTATGCATCACTTATTGGTAAAATAAATCTCATCAAATAAGTGACGTTCTTAGACCAATTCACAAACTTATTGTTTACACACAATTACAGCGAAACAGTTAAAGTAATCCACTCCGATATGATAAGATAATGGAAGAATAGTACCTCTTGGAAGAAGTAATCTTTCTTAGTAAGCAATTGTTCTTCGCCAATTCTTTTTTTGCGCTTTAGTAATACTCTATTTACGGCAGCTTCAAAAATCGATGACGAATTTTTCTTCAAATAAAAAGTCATTAATGAGAATAAATTTTTTGAAGATGAGCACAAATCACAATAATACAAAACCCGGAAAAAAACGTACTTTGTTCCATTTATATAGTGCACTTGCAATGTCAATCTTCTCAATGAGCTCTACAATTAAAGAACGTGCACTACGATAATGACAGAGATACGTGTGAACAGTTCGATTGAGCTGAAGTGACTAGACTGTAAGGAAAGTTTTTCATCAGATAAAAATACAAATAAAAAGTTTAGTTCTAATTACTGTGCTCAGAATTTTGCTTTCAATAGACCAGTAAAAAAGCTTAATAATAGTAGGCCAAAATAAATGATCCATATGATTTAAACTTCTATACAGATTAGTAAATAAATAAGAAAAAAATACTTTATCCTCGAGCCCAACACTTTTGATGAAAAGAACAAACATTGTTAAAACTCTTTTTTTCTGTCCTTCCAAATGCACTTCCAACAACAGCGAACTTCCCGAAGATAGTTCGCTCGCTACTGCCGATGCTACTAAAAATAAACAATAAACGTTGCTAACAAATAAGACAAATTTTTTAAATAAAATTTTGTATATAAATTTCATATAAACTTACAGAGAGATGAATAACCAGCACCCGTCCATCGCTTATCGATTGGAACACTATCAACAAGTTCGATGGCATATTCAACACAAATCTGTGCAATCCCTGCATGCCGATTTTCCAGCAATTCCTTCATAACAGTAGCAGCTTTATGCTAAAAATTAAAGTTTTTGATAAAATAAATTTAATATTCAAGGCAGATACAATACCAATGAGACACTGTTGAAAATTCTAATATTTTGTGCAAATACTCATAAAAGACAGGGGAAGCATATGAGAGGTTTATTTCAAGGAAATTATAAAATCCAAACACAAATAAAAGATTAATGTTAAACGATCTCTAGAATTAAAAAATATACATTGAAAGAAGTTGACATAAACATACTAAATCGGCTTTCGAGAAGAGATAAAATGCCAAAGCAAGCACATGACGATCAGTTGTGGTAGAAGGAAAATTTTCGGAATGAATTTGCATCTCACTCATCTGGGCTATAGTTGGTGCTAGATTTCCATCAAATCCTCTGCAATACACATCGTTATAAATTCATATTTTCCTAAGTAAAAACTTTAGTTGATGAATTTAAATAAGTACAACAAAAAGTGAAACTACCTCGGGAGTAATCTAACTCGCTGCAAGCCTCTTTCTTTTAGGAAAATGTAACAATGAAAAGCATCACGACCTGTAATGCTTTATTAGACTTCCTCACAAGTACTGCATACAAATAATCAAAGATACAATCTATTTCCTCACCGCTTTATATTGCCTTCACTGACAATTCATTACAGCTATCAAACTATTAAATAGTTTCAGATATGTTAGTTAAAAAATAGGAATTACCTGAACTAATAATGGTTGCATTAACTGGAACACACACAGCCAATTTTAATGGAGTATTTTTAACCATTCGGTCAGGCAAACCAAATGAATGAACAGCTTTTGGAGTAATAACAAGAACACACTCCAATCTGTCATCAAATAGTTGTTCTGGGATACTTGGTAAGCTAAGTTCAACATTTATTTCTGCATCTGCCTCAACTGACTGAAACTTTATTACCAACTGTACTGAAATTCAATGAAATGAATAGAAAAAAAGGTTTATTTTTGTAAAAATCGCAGAAAAATCTCATAACTGTGAAGTGAGTAATAAAGAAAAGAGTTCAACGCATTTGAAAAAGCTCTCCTCCGATATATGAAACAAGTTTTGTAGCGATACAATTTCAATTAGAGATGAGAAATTACATGACTTACTTGAAAATCATTAGAAAGAGATTCTAAAATACAAAACCATTCTAAAGCTGTAGGAGAATGAGTGCTATCATACGATGATATATAGCCTGAATATTTCAATAGGTTTTTAGATAAAATCACATGTAAAATCTAGTTTAGAAAATATAATTTTCTTTTATAAAGATTAAACGAAAATCTGCAAAGCCATCAACATCTACTGGTATGATTTTCATTATACCAATATGTCATAATTATAAAAATTATTCAACCAATGAATCATTGAATACTCCACAATAAAAACTAACCAAATGCAAAATAAACTTTTGTAGAAATATTTCTATTGATACACGCAAATAATATGAGAACACCATCTCTAATATTGACCGCATCCAATATCCATAAATTCACTTTTTCTTGCCATTCGCTATGTCCATCAACATCATGTTCAGGCTGAAATAACAGTAAATATTGCTCTATAACAACGATAAACTTAAAAAGTGGCAAGTAATCACATACCCACAAATTCACAGCAAAGTGTTGGCTAGCTAAATCGGCTGTTTTGCAGCTCCAACTCTTAGCAGAATTCTTTATTGAATACGAGTGAAGCTGATATTCAGTCACTGCAAGTACATGCATACTGTCTGTAGTAATAGAATTTGATGTATTACTAGAAGAATCTGAATCTTCGTCATGAGACTGCTGATATATCAAAGCCCTAACAAGCCTGAAATCCTTTAGATTTAGAAACCGCAAAAACTAATGTTTACTTTAAACTATTCGAAATTTTAAAAAATAGAATTAGTTTTTTCCAAATTTTTGACGCGTAGTAAAGTTATATAAAGCTTTAAAATATGCTAAATTTATAAAATTTTAGATTATGAAATTGAGAAATACTAATACCTTAATCTGAACTGTTTTCCTTCACCAAATATAGCCGAAACCAATTTTGCACTGATCCCGGTCCTTGTATTTGCAAAAATTGTCTTCACGATAATTTCGGAAGATAAACGCTGTCTCTTTCCTGGTGTGGGAAAAATACTTGAACTAGTGCTCAACAAAAAGAAGGAGCATGTGGTCGTTGCAAGCACAAAGTGAATATCTTCTAAAAAAACTTCCCCATTATTTTCTCACATATAACAGAAGATGAAAAATTAAGACATCCCAATTCAACAATTTAAATAAACCTAACTTTTAAGCTAAATGTATGACAACAAATAACGTTTTTTCAAGGAAACACTGTTTTCCAAAAATTTGGTGATCAAAAAAAAATGAACGGGACATAATTCAAATCATTCATATTCACTTGCTAAAGACTTTTGTATAAAACTACTTACACATGCCCATGAAACTTCCATCGCTTTCCTCTTCTTATAAACGATGAATTTTATTCCAAAACTTTGGCAGTAAAAAATATTTGTGTTCTGAACTACCTAATTTAATAGTACATGCATTATTTTAATTTTTATAAAAACTCCAACGAACTTTAACCTGATGATTCTATGTTTATCCTTGTTACTGACAGTACAACTTCGCGTTCTAAGTTTACTGTACAGTCAGTGGGTTGTCGCTCTGGTAGAGACCAATGCCGTACAATACCTTCTGGTGACACAGCAATTATACCTGGAGCCGAAAAACCTGAAGAATAAGAGAATGAAAATTGATTGCTACTGTAAAAAAACGACGGGATTTTCACCCAAAAAAAACATACCCTGTCTCCTGTATATGGAAACAGTTTGTGCACTGTAAGGAAGTCCAGATGGAGGTAAGTTGAACACTAATGGTCCATCTGCAGAGTCTTCCTAAAATGAAAATTAGGACTATTCGCAGTCCCAATTAAATATTATGACAATAATATGTCCATACTTGCATATATTTTCATTCAAATTACATTTGTATGAATTCAGAAATCATACACTTGCTCTTTTAAAACCACATACTTCTGTGTCATATTTCCACACATAGAGATCTCGATCAACAATTAACCAAGCATAGCCACAACTTGATATTGAACCCGAACACGAACTTGAGCTCTTTTCTGAATTTCGTATGGTCAATAAATTTATACTTGCATTAATGTAGTTTAAAAAGCGATAACTTCTAAAGAAAAACTAACTTGTAAGAGCTTCTCGTACTAAACCAGGATAATCAGATCCAACTGACTCCAACACCAATTCCATTTTGCGCAACATTTCACTACCTGGGAATGTAATACTACATTCACAATACAATAACAAACACAACCTATACTTATGCAAGTCATTATATACCTATACAAAAGCATTCACCTTTGCATTGTCTTACTGCCATGAGAAAAACTTCTTCAGATTTTTTATGAGTTTCATCAGTCGAAAACTAAAGTAATCCAAAATACGGCCTTGACCACAGCTGAAGACGCAAATACTCTTTTAAAAAAAAGGAAATTCGTCTGCATAAAGCAAGTAACGAATAGAGTTTTTATTGACATCATTAAATAGAATATAGCCCAATGTAATGAAAACTGTGATAACATAAATCACTTCTAAATCTTCAGAATAATGAAATATAGTAAGCAGGTGGAATTTATTCCAGCATATACAAAAAGTAGGATAACGATATCTATTCTAGCATTGAGCATTGTAAACAAACATTTTTACCTCACGTCACTACAATATTCATACAAACTGAATGCTACAATACATTTTAATCACACAACTTTACAACTATGACTACTTCATTTCTGCGTATACATGTTTACACCAATAAATCTTGCAGTTGTCAAATCATGAAGATCATTAAGATCATGTGCACAAATGTACTGCTATAATTATTCATTTAAAACCAAAAAGAAATTGCAGATGGATAGCTTTTGACAGCTTAATAACTCGCGAAACTCGAAGCAAAGAAATGAGAGATAGAAATAACTGCTATCATATGAGATTTGTTGGAAGCTGAAAATGAAACTGTTTTTCCTAACACAAACTTTATAAAGAATGTCAGGATTGATGATGTCTGGATCTTCATCGATATCTAAAAATATGACAGAGAAAAATTTAAATAGTCTGATTCGTTAAAAATAAACTAGCCAGTACCTTTGCAAATGGAATTCAACTATCATTTAAGAGCATCATTCCATCATTATTGTCATCTTTGCAGCTGAGCTGAACCATTAACAAATATATTTACTCGCACCAAAATTCGTCCCTGCTTTCCATGACAGATTTGTCTGAAGTTTCCACTATCTCCATAACATCAGTTTCGCACAGACTACACCTTAGCTTCCAGCGTGTTTCTCAAGTATTCATTAGTTACTTACTGTTATGCGGAAATAAATTGATTAAACTGAAGGAACATAACCTCTTTCTTCATTTTAAAGGTCGTGAGTGAAGCTTTTCCCGGCCTTCACCAAAAATTGTGCACTACCTGGTTTTCGCAACCAAATACTTTAAAATTATGGAGTTTTTTAATCATTTTTTTGATAATAGAGACAAGAACTGTGCACCAAACATAAAGACGTTTCTCTAAAAAAAAACGGTCAAAAATGTCTAGCAACCACTTTCATAATAGATGCACTACCAACCTTCTATTCCCGTTGGTCTACCAACAGTTGTGGTAACTTCATCAATTTTTTCGTGTAATTCAGGGCTATAAACACTAA